ACGAGCCACGACTATACCTAGAGAAACTATTTAGGGAGCCAGCAGTAATCGCACTTTGTCAGAAAGCGCAGCCAGTCCAATTAGTCACGCACGCAAGTCCTTTACCTAAGATAAATATACGTCTCCAAGGCGAGACATACACGGCGTTAATCGACACGGGATCCACGAGAAACCTTATCAAAGTTTACCGAGCAAACTACGGTACAGTGCAAGCCGATACAGATGTTTACACCCTAGCCTGCGGGAAAGAAGTAATTTCGTCACGAGGTGTCACCCGAGCTACGTTCCACGCCGGGGGAAGAGACTTCGACGCCACGTTTCACATCATCTCAGGGTTAAACGAGAAGATCATTTTAGGCACACAATTTCTCACGCAAGAAAACGCCCTACTTGATTACCAGCGCCGCTGCACGAATCTTGGACAAACGGATCGAGTCACCACATACTGGGTGCCCGTGATTAACAAGCCAACAAATCAGACTGCGTCGCTCGATGACTTACAAATTTCAAAAGCCCATAGAGCCGAGCTGTTACCTGTATTGCAAGAATTCGCAGACGTGTTCGTCCCGCCGACAATCAACAAAACTACGCTTACAACTAAGCATCAGATAGAGGTGGTAGATAACAAGCCAATCAATCAGAGGCCCTATCCGCTTAACCCACACAAAACTAAGATTCTCTACGAACAACTAGCAGATATGCTAGCTAATGGGATCATCGAACCGTCCACGTCAGAGTACAGTTCGCCACCCGTCTTGGTGGAACGGCCAGGCAAGAAACCACGCTTCTGTGTGGATTACAGGAAAATAAACGCGATTACCAAATCCGAATCCTCAACTCTCCCTAAAATTTCAGAAGTATTAAAGTCGTTCGGCGAAGCCAGAATATTTTTGGTCTTGGACCTGAAGAGCGGATATTGGCAAATTCCTATGCAGCCCGAGTCCAAAAAGTACACCGCCTTCTCCACTCCAGATGGAGCCACATACCAATTCAACGTTTTACCTTTCGGGATGAAAAATGCACCCAGTTGTTTCCAAAACGTTATATTATATTTACATCACTTCACTCAAGTGTATCTCGATGACATCATTGTATACAGCAAAACCATCCAAGAACACAAAGATCATCTACGGCTCGTGCTAGAGCTTATGCGACAACACCAACTACAGATATCTCCTGAGAAATGTTCACTAGCGGTAGGCGAATTAGAGTACCTCGGACACCAGATACAAGGAACTATCACAAAGCCTTTACATAAGCACCTACAAGCTATCCAGGACTTCCCGAAGCCTAACACCAAGCGTCAGTTACAAAGCTTCGTGGGTATATGCAACTGGATGAGAGAATACGTCCGCGACGCCGCTCATTTAACTAAGCCACTCACTTGCCTGCTAAAGAAGAACCAGAGGTTCAACTGGACTCAAGAATGCCAGGACGCATTCGAGAAACTCAAGTCCAACGCAGCGCAGCCGCTTCAGTTACACAGGCCTGATTTCAGCAAAAGATTCTTCCTACAAGTGGACGCCTCCCGAATGGGACTGGGGGCGATCTTATTTCAGAAATCGGAGGACGACAGGTTAATAGTATCCTACGCTAGTGCCACTCTAACGCCCGCAGAACAAAAATACCAGTGAACGAATTAGAGGTCTACGCCGCTATATTCGGCATCAAGAGATATCAAGCATACCTAGCCGATAGCCAATTCACCCTCATAACAGATAGCAGATCGCTATACTGGCTCGAGAAAAATAGGGACACAAAAGCCAAGCTTACTAGATGGTCGCTGTTATTACAAGAATACAACTTTGAAGTTCAACATTGTCCAGGTCGAGAAAACCAGCTAGCAGACTTCCTGAGTCGCAACGCCAGCGAACCTCATCCCGTAGATATGACGGATGAATCAAGAATGCTGCCACCCGAGCCCATTTGCCAAATCACGCATAACGAGCTGTACACCGAGGTCCAAAATTCACAGGCACACTCTCGCAGAACACAACGGGACATCCTCAAATGGCACCGCATCCACAGGAATGGTCCTCAGAACAACAACGAACGTAAATTCCATACCAGCTACACAGTCCGCAATAACCATCTATACAAGTCACAAGGGGAAGACGACCTGTTAGTAGTACCTAAGCGCAAGTTGAGAAAAGTAATCCACGCCTATCACGACGTGCTAGAAGAAGCTCATCCCGGTATAGACGAGACTCACCGGAAGATTACTCAACTATACCATGCCAAAGGACTACGCAAACAGATCGTCGAGTACGTCAACAGATGCTTGCCATGCCACTCTGTAAAAAGCCGCAAATACAGAAAGAAGCCCCACAAAAGCCGCACACAGCGCAATCACCTTTCGAAGTAATCAGTATAGATGTGTTAGGACCCTATCTAGTTACCCCACGGGATAACAAATACGTTCTTATCGTCGAGGACCTATTCACTAAATGGACTGAAGCCAAGCCCGCATCAAATTCCGAAGCCGCCACTATTTGCCAATTCCTAGAGGATGAAATTTTCACAATATACAGAGACCCCAGAGTAATCATCTCCGACAACGCGACAGTGTTCCAGAGCCAGAAATACCTCAACATGTGTCAGCGCAAGCAATTTCAGCCATATCACACCGCCATCTACTTCCAACGATTGAACCCCGTCGAACGAAAAGTCGCCGATTTTAAAACCATTTTACGAGCCCTCATGTATAACCAGCTGCGACGAAGAAACTGGGATCAACAAGTACCACGAGCCCTAGCAATACAGCGCCGACGCAAGAACCGAGCTACAGGAGAATCACCGGCAACCGCCCTCCTAGGTTACGAAGCGGCCGCTCAAGGGGACTGGGAAATTCCAGAGTTCTAAAGAAAACGAAAGCGACCCCGAGAAGACGCGAGGTTGAGACGCCAAACCATCATCGCTCGACAACTAAATTTCAATCAAAACACCTATCCACGTCGAGACGATGAGCCTACCATCACCTTCCAAATCGGTGACATGGTAATGGTAAAAGAGTACAACCTGCCGGATCCTTTCGCACCTACATGGGTAGGACCGTTTCCAATAATCGTCCGAAATTCACCGCAAGTATACGAGGTTGACAAGAATGGAAGGCAATTCAAATATCACGTCGATCAACTTCGACCGGCACCGCCAGGGAATCCTCCGTTGGAAGAGGACGATTCCAGCGACGAAGAAGATGACGACGATAATGGCTCAGCATCCAAACAAATCACAGTCACCGCCGAAGTACACGCCACCCTACCCACTCCAATCAAATTACGTATCCGCAAGGTACCAGGCGAAGATGGAAACCGTCGCCGATACCAAGTCATTAACAGTCAGCCACTCGACCAAATTCAAGTCGTCGAAACCCAAAGTCCACTCGACGAAAGGGGGGAGGTGTCGTATAATGTGAGCGAGCGAACTTCAGATTTCGACTATCTTTCGAATCCAAGTTCCAACGCCCGGAACAGCGCTCCAGTGCAAGCTCTCTACGCAGAACATGAAGCCATAACAAACATATTCCACAATGTTTCTAATCCCGAGCCCGAAGTCGCTGTCAGAGGAGAAAGTAAAAATTTCACCCATGTTTCCAATCCAAACCACAAAATCCAGAACCGAGCTCCAAGTCCGATTTCTAGAATAAGAAATCAAAACACAAGCATTAAAGTGCATAATGTTTCTAACTCCGAAGCCGAAGTCGCTGTCAGAGAAGAAAGTAAAAATTTCACCCATGTTTCCAATCCACACCTCAAAATCTAGGACAACACCCCATGTCCGATATCCAGTATCACAAATCAAAGCAAAAGCATTAATATGCACAATGTTTCCACTCTCGAGTACGATATCACTACCAGAGCGAAGAGAGAAAAAATCGACCAGGTTTCGAATCAACCCGCCATCCGGCCGCCTCGAGTCAAGATGAAACAGTATCCACGAAAACAAACAAAACCGACTATGTTTCAGATTTCCCGCATCACAGAGCCGCAGTTGAGCCGAGCCAAGCCGAATTGCAGAAATCGCCGATGTTTCCAATTCACCTGCGAAACGCCGCAAATCGTCGAAAAAGCGCCCCCTGGTGATGGAGACGAGATGGACCACATCGAGGTCGACCAACTTTCCAATGGTCCCCGGCCTTGCAGGGGAGCACCGGTCAAGAAGAGGAAGAAGAATCGCATAAAAAACCCGGGAATCAGCCGCGGATCAAGGCCGCGAATCCCCTATCGCGATGGATCGTCAACTGTGGGCATCCGCAGTTATATAACCGAATCGACGTATCCGGCCAGTCTCTGTTGTGGGACGCTCCAAATCTTAGTTGCGACATTAAAGCCATTATAGTCAANTGCTTTAAGCCGTAAAATAAGATCACTCATACGTAAAACTCATAAATCAGTCATAACCTCCAAACGGTGTACTTCGAACTGCTGTTCTGCAATCACTGAGCAGAATTGTCGTCTAGGGAGTCCAAGGTTATGCAGTAAAGCTATCCATACGTGTTAGGTTTTGGAGTAAGTACAGGTACCCCGTCCTACCCCTAGTTCCCCTACGTGTTAACTTGAAAAACGGACACACTGTATATAAACTTATATTATTATATTTATGGAAAAAATTAAATTATTTCTCTACAACTTACTTTTATATGTAACTGACTTTTCTTTGCTCGTTTGAGCATTTTTTTCCTTTTCTTTTTGTTCTAAAAATAAAATAAAAAGTACTTATTAAATTTTACCTTAAGGCCCCCATAGACGCTAAGGTTTACCGGAAGGCCGGCCTTCCGGTCTTTAAACCGGAAGGCCAAACCTGTACTCACGGATGAGCCACAGACTATAAGGTTTCATGAAGGTAACCTTTCCGGCTTCTATACCAGAAGGCCAAAACATGTACTCTCGACGTCGGAATACACACTACGTTTTTACAGCGGGTTTGCGTGTTATTTTTGTTATTTTTACAGTCAGTATTTTCAAAAATTCGTTTTGCCAACATCCGATCGATAATAAAAAATGGCTTCCGAAGAAGACTTGATACTGATAGGCTTGGTAGTCGCTTTACTACCCAATAATAATCATAATAAAAAACAAAAAATAAAACGTAAACGTTCGAAATGGGTGAAACAGTGGTTACATAGGCAAACACATAACAATCTCATTAACGAACTGCGGTTAGAACCAGATGACTACCGAAATTACTTGCGGTTGAAAGAAGAAATATATACTGAGTTGCTAGGGCTTGTTTTTCAAATAATTCAGAAAGAAGATACTATAATGCGACAAGCGATTACTCCTCATGAAAGGTTAACTAGTACTTTGAGATTCCTAGTCACAGGAAGAAATTACGAAGATCTTAAGTTTTCAACTGGCATTTCTGCACATGCTCTAGGAAAAATAATACCAGAGACACGTAGAGCGATATTTGATGTTCTTCAGGAAAATTATTGCAAGGTAATTCGAATAACATTTTTCTTTATTAAAAAAACAGATAAATATTATAAGGAATCATTATTTATTATGTATTATGTGGATTAAATGCTCCGTAATAAGAACTTGCTGTTTGTGATTGATCCTGCCAGGAAGGCGGTTGATGATATTCAGAAGCAGTTAAAACCGAAGTTGATGCAATCTCTCCATGACGTTGAGGCAGCAGCCCTGATGTCGTATACATCGCGTTACTTTGTTGAGAGTTGGTTACTGTAATAAAATAAAAATAATAATACACCATAATAATCAGAATATTTTGAATCATACTATTAGTGAGTGGTTGTGATACAATCCAGGATTGCCCATTTAACGATCCACATTTCGCTTCAAAGATGGCATCATTTATAATTCTTTGACAGTATGTAGCCATCATAGGCGGTAAGGCATCTAATTCCTGCCCAACGTATACACCGTAATTCGAATATTTATTTGGGCTTTGTAATTTGTCTGCGACTAATTGTAATACTGTTTCTTGGTGATTTAATGGTTCTGTAGCTTGGCGCTTAGCTACTTTGCTACGTTTCCTTCTTATGGAAGTAGCTGCCGAACTCAGAGATGGTGTAGTAACAGAAGAAATAGGCGATTGCACTGATTCTTGGTCTTGAGAAATTTCTGGTCTGAACCGTCTTTCTGTCGTGATGCATTATCATTTTCTGTGTCTTCATGCTATAAATTGATGTTTCTTATTTTGATTTCTAAAATACATTACTAATCTAATAATATTTGTTTTTGCTGTTTCCACGCACAAGACAAGAGTGGGAACAAATAGGACTAGATTTTGAGAATAGATGGCAGTTTCCAAACTGTTTAGGTGCAGTTGACGGGAAGCATGTAAGAATAGTACCTCCAGCAGGAAGTGGATCATACTACTACAATTATAAACAATTTCACAGTATAGTATTGATGGGTATTGCAAATAGTAACTACGAATTAATACTGTTTGATGTGGGTACAAATGGACGAGTATCTGATGGTGGTGTTATTAACAATACATCTTTTTACAAAGCATTATTAAATGAAAAATTAAATTTACCTCCAATAAACCATCGTAATAATCTTCCATATGTATTCATTGGAGATGAAGCTGTTGCTCTTCGAAAGGATTTTTTGAAACCATATAGTGAAAGAGAACTAAATGTTGATCGTTCAAACTTTAATAAACGCTTAAGCAGAGCAAGACGAATAATAAAAATGTTTTTGGCATATTAGCTAGTAGAGTTCGTATATTTCATACAGAAATTGGAATATCAGTGGAAAATATTGAAATTGTAATAATGACTTGCTGTGCACTGCACAATTATTTACGAAATAAAAATCCAAATTATTGCATAGAAGTTTCCCAAGACGACAATTTATGTGTACAACAAGACAATTTGACTTCTCTTCAAAAGGGTCACGGCAGTAGGCGTTCTACTGACGATGCTAAAGAAGTGCGTGAACTATTTCTTCAATATTTTAAAAATAATACCTAATTAATTTAATTTAAAATATGTAACACGCTTGTATATGCAAAACTTTTATAAAATATTAAATAATTGTACCTTAAAACGATGTTTTTGTTCTCATTGGTAACAAATCACATTATTAAAGTAGCCATTTAAAAATACATATATTATAGTAGGTACCTATATAGCAACCTCGTCTTCTTCACTATCGGTTGCTGATAAATTTGCATTTGATTGGCTTTTTCGAGGAACTTCGTGATCATAAAGGAAATCAAGATGATGAAAATACCACAAAGAAGGTTCATATGTTTCTCCACTCAAGCCAGTTCTTTTGCTGGATTTCATTTTTTTCAGTTCCTTCCTGTACGAGCTACGCATATTATTAATTTTTTTAACCACCAAATCTTTTGTTGCTGTTGGATCTACCGTTTTCAACATATCTACCAATTGAGCGTAAGCTGCTATTTTCATTGGTTTGTTTGTATAGTCTTTGCTTTTTATATTGTACAAATACGGCAGTTCTCGATAGCGTTCAATAAACTTTTCAATAAACTCATGAGACCAATTTCTCATATCAGCCATAATAATAAACTATAGTAATAACGTTCACCACTAATAAACCCACTAAAAAATAAAACTCTAGACTGTGTAGACGTCTAGGCATAACAATAAAACCTTCCGGATCGGCCTCCGATGCACATACACGTTACGACTTGTTAAATTACGACACGGCCGGCCGGCAGACAGGCCTCGCCTTCCGGCTGGTTTGGCCACTAACCATGCGATTTGCCTGCAGGTTCGGTAGCCGGTCTATGGGGGCCTTAAAGGGAAAGACAAGTTGTTACAAAATTAGATCGCGTCCTCTCACCTAGCCATGCCTAAGCGCAATCATACAATGTTAGCTACATCTCGAGCAGAGTCCAGCGCGATAGCGCGAGAAGCATATAATATGTCCAGACACCCTGAGAGCCACAACCTGATGGTAGGTGAAGCGAGCGAGGTACGACGACAATATATATATATATTGTTTCGTTTTTGCTTATTTTATTTAGTTTTTTTTATATATATATTATATTCTATTTCTAGCTGTTATTATTATTCTAAGAATCTTTAATTTGTATTTTTTTTTGCTCATTGTTGTTACCGCGTAAAATTGGTGGTTTTCAACGCCTCTATTGGCGACCACTCGAAATAAGGGACTTGAATGGTGACTCTCTTTGAACCCATACTCTCTCTTGTGTTCGCTATTATTCCGCTATCAAAAACCTCTGGTGTTTTCCATTACGAAACCGGCCGGTATCAGCCTGCGATATAAGTGCGAGGGTGTGAAAATTCCTGTAAGAAGACACCTAGTTTTAAGGTAAGAAAACCACCGATCGCATTTTGTTTATATTTCATATTCTCAATTATTTTTTTGTGCCGACAATTATAATCATATGCCAATGAACCAGTAATAATAAAAAAAATAAAGTCCATTTCGAAATATTTTTTGATCCTTCTATGCGGATTCTTCATTTAATTGCATGTGATTTTATGCGTTGGTAATTTATATCAAATAAATTCAAGATTTTTAGATTTCATATTCCCGTTACAAATTGTTTTTGTCATTTCAAACTCTTTGCTATCAGTACTTAGTTTTTTGTGAACACAGTATTTCTTGCCAACGCTATTTATCGGTTAAACTATCCATTTATACTCTTTTATTAAATATCTTTCTTGGAAAAATTAAATTTGAAAAAGGTTTAACTCATTGTTCTCGTTTGTTTTCGCTAGATATTCTGCCCATTTATTTCTTTAAAAATTTTGCTTCACCATTTCAACTGTAACCAACAAACTAAAACAATTAAAAGCTCTTAGGCACATTAGTATTGACCGCGTCGAAGATTTGAAATTAGTAGCTTAGATTGCTCTCACAAATGAAAATGTTCGGACCCAATTTAAATCTCGCTGCTGTAATTTAGACTCAATTTATGAAGAATTTGAAAAGCATAATCAAGGTATTTTTCTGATTGTTTCTACTTTGGAAGATTATGATATAGAAAATGAAAATATTGTACGTAAAGATTTTGATTCTTCTTATTATGAAATTAAAGAAATTTATAATAAATTGTTTGAAATCACGAATGTAGTCGCTGACACCTCTTCAAGTAAACCTAATATAAAACTTCCTAAATTAGAATTGGCTAAATTTGACGGCAATCTCAAGAAATGGAGGACATTTATTGATATGTTTGAATCAACTGTTCATAAAAATAATAATCTTTCAAATATAGATAAATTTTCTTATCTAATTGCTTCTCTAGAAGGTCATCCTTTAAGTATAGTTCAATATCATCGCCTTTGTGATCAAAATTATTTAATTGCATTAAATTCCCTTAAACTTAATTATGAAGATAAACGCGAATTGGCTAATTCTTATTATAAAGAAATCGAAAATGCTCCCAAATTAACTGAAAATGATGCCTCTCCTGAAAATTTTAAAAAATTGTTATATATTTTTACTGAAAATTTAAATGGTCTTGAAAATATGGGTTTTCCTGTTTCTCACTGGGATTATCCCATGTTTAATAAACTCATAAGATGTTTAGATTCTAATACTATTTCCCAATTTGAATTTTAATATGATAATGAAATCCCAAGTTTCGAATCTTTGAAAAAGTTTTTATTTAAAAAATGTAAAGCATTGACTAGAGCTCACGATATCAGTTCTCATAGTAATAAAAATAAAAAAGAAAACTCTAGAATTAAATACTCTCCAACGACATTGTCAAATTCTCCAAGTTTTCAACGATCACGTTCATCATTTTTTGCTGAAACTAAAAATACTTTACAATGTCCTCTTTGCAAATCAGATCACTTAATATATAAATATCCCACATTCACTTCATATTCACCAAGAGAACGTTATAACTTGGTTAAAACTCAAAGATGGTTTATAAACTGTCTTGGATTTAAACATTCTCTAAATAACTGTAATTCTTCTTCGACTTGTTTGAAATGTAAGAAAAGACATCATACTTTACTGCACTTTGAAAACATAACTTCTCCAACGCTTAACGCTTCTACATCCTCTGCTTCTTCGCCTAACTGCACCTCTTTACAAAATAACTCTTCTTGTGCAGGTACTTTACAAACTACTTCTCTTACTAACCTCGTTCCTTCGAAAAAGGTTGTTCTCCTTTCGACCGCTATGATCGAAGTTCTTGATAAATGGGGCAATTATCAAGTTGTTCGCCCTCTCCTGGATTCTGGTAGTAATGCCAATTTTATCACTGAAAAATGCTGTAATCGTTAGGTCTAACAAAATTGGATCTCTCTGTCTCCATTCAAGGTTTAGGACAAATGTCTTCTTCTGCCGCAAAAGGAGTTTCTCTCAATTTTCGCTCGCTAAGCCAACCCAACCATAGTTTTATTATCGAAAATGTCATTCTACCGCAAATTTGCGAGGATATGCCTAAATTTGAGATTTTTCCCGATTCTTGGAAACACCTACAAAATATTCAGTTAGCTGATCCACAATTTAATATTCCAAAATCTATTGACGTATTGTTAGGCGCAGTTATATTTTCGAGTATCTTACTTAATGGTCGTCTAGCAGGTAAGCAAGACGAACCTGTAGCTATCAATACTACTCTTGGTTGGATATTAATGGGATCTATAAATTCTCAAGCAGTTTCTATTAAATCATTCCTCTGTTGCTGTGATGTTTCCTTAGAAAATTCTTTAAAACGCTTTTGGGAAATAGAAGATTATCCTCAACAAAACCATCTCTCTCCTGAAGACCAGTTATGTGAAGAGTTATATTCTCAAACATACTTCAGAAATGTTTTTGGTCGATTTACAGTTAGTCTTCCCTTTCGTTCAGGAGAACCACATTTTTCAAATACTCGAACTTTAGCTGTTCGTCGTTTTTTATCGCTGGAAAATAAATTACTTAGTAACTTTTCTTTACATGAACAATATTCCGACTTTATGCGTCAATATTTAGACAGTGGTCATATGTCTCCAGTTACCGATAATTCTTCATCAAACGTTTACTATATTCCGCATCACTGTGTTGTAAAACCTGATAGTACCACAACTAAACTTAGAGTGGTGTTTGACGCAAGTGCCAGTACAACTGGATTTTCTTTAAATAGTACTCTTCTTCCTGGCCCCAAACTGCAACGTGATTTAATAGGTATTCTATTAAATTTTCGATTTTACGCTATCGCCTTTATTACGGATACCAAGCAAATGTATCGACAAATTCTGATTAACGATTCTCATAAAAACTTTCAAAGAATAGTCTGGAGGTTTTCACGAGACGAACCTATCCAAGATTATGTCTTAAATACTGTTACTTACTGAGTTTCTTCCGCTCCTTTCCTAGCGATTAGATCTCTTTTATAATTAGCCAAGGATGAGCGTTGTCGTTTTCCACTGGCTTGTGAGGCTCTAGAAACTAATACTTACATAGACGATATCGTTTGTGGAGCCAATTGTTTGGAAGATGCTCTTAAATTGAAAACAGAATTAATCTCTTTACTTCAAAGTGCAGGCTTCGAACTTCATAAGTGGAATAGTAATCATCCTGCGCTCTTAGTAGATAATTGTTCTCAATTACCTCAAAATTCGCTTCATCTTGATCTTACGCCTAATGTCAAGGTTTTGGGTCTTCAGTGGAATCCTTTTTCAGATACTTTCAGCTTTCATGTCACGGCAATAACTTCAGTTTGTACAAAACGCAGTATTCTCTCCGAGGTAGCTCGTATCTTCGATCCA